AGCCTCCTCACGCATTCAAACGGGAGGCACCTCGTCCCCTGGAATCACTGTTAGGATCTTGCTTTTAACAGAGTGGAGAGAGAACAGTGTGTTAGCAATCTTGGAAGGAGAGGCATGCGGTCAGGGATACGGGGTTCCTCTGCCTGTCAGTGTCCTATGGAGGAGCCAAGCTGAGTCATCAGGCATGAATGAGGCCAGAAGGATTGTGTGGTGTTTAAGGCTAGCCTGGCGGTACACGCCGAGATCCAGGCCAGCCCTACAGATGTAGGGAGACCCTGTCAACAACGACAATAAAAATAATGAAAGCAGATGTGCACTCTGGTCCAGGGGGACCCTGTGGCAACACCAAGCAGTCAGTCGGAAGACACTGTGAAGAATCATCACTGAGGGAAGGACCGGCGCTCCCTTTCCATCCCTCGGGACGGCAGGCATCGGTTATGAGTGGACACCACGGGAGGGCCCCCTAGGTAGAAGTGGGAAGACTGAAGAACGGGACCACAGGGTAGGGGTGGCTTGGGCTCTGACCTGGTCAGTCCCACAACAGACCCCAGGGCTGTCACCTCTCCAGCCATCCATGCCTGCAAGCAGGCTCTTTCCCCAGCAGCTGTGGCTGGTCAAGTTCCACATGGGAATTACAGACCCTACAGTTCCTTCTCATAGATGGGTCTTCATGGGACTCTAAGCCCAGGGAGGGAGGGGCTGTGTATGCCACAGGGAGCCCCATGATGTCTCCAATCTTCCCCCCAATCTCCCACCAGAACTCAGTTGTCTGAACCTGTGGGGACACCAGACCTTGAGCAGAAACCCACTTCCCCTTCAGCCTGGGAGCAGGCAGCTGTGAGATAATGTTTACTGAAAACAATTCAGTGCTATAAAGCTCTTGATAGGGCTCAGATAAGGGCTTGCTCACTGAAACACCATGACTTTGACACCCCCTACGGCTAGATGCCTCTTCCTGCTCCCTGCGGTGAGATTAAACCACTAGCCAGGAGGGTGAGAAGTCAGGAAAGAATTGTATGTAGATGGATGGCAGAAGTCCTTAAAAAGGGAAGGGGGGGGTTCTTGGGGAGACTTCTCCTAAGCGGACTTGGGGTCTCCTCCTAAACTGACTGGGGGAAGCATAAAGTTTTCTTAAAGCAGCCGACCAGTCTCTGTGTCATCTATCCCGACCACCTCGCTACATTCTCGGATGCAGGCCGCACAGCAGGTGCGACATGAACCCAGCTCAGAATCCTGGCGAAAATGAAGATATTCTATTCATTTTTATTTTTACTTTTGGAGACAGGGTTTCTCTGTGTAGCCCTGGCTGTCCTGGAACTCCCTCTGTAGACCAGGCTGGCCTCGAACTCACAGAGATCCACCTGCCTCTGCCTCCTGAGTGCTGGGATTAAAAGCGTGCACCACCAACGCCTGGCTGAAGATATTCTAAAGAGACCCTTGTGCCCTCCCTTTGGCTATTTGTGCGAAAATGGACCCCAGGAAATTGGGGTCTCCCCCCCAGGTAACTCTTACTCAGAGAAAGAAAGGCTGGAAGCCTGGTCCCAACAAGAAAGGGATCTTGTCTCCTAGGAAGAGGTTTCAGGCCATCTTGCCGGGGCCAGGACAATGATGGGACAGTGATGGACAGGACCACGCCTTGGTTGTTGTGCCCTGACCAGGACGGCTTAGCTCTGCACACCTCTTGCTCTCTGTTCGAATCTAAACCTCATGTCGGGACCCCAAAGACAGACTTGGAGGTCACTGGACCTCTTTATTTGTTCTTCCAAATGGATAATCCTGTCTGCTTCTCTGCTTGTTTCTTTAGTTGGCCTATTGAGAACAGAGGCTGAAGCTAGCTGGTTAAGGCTCTCGGGGACCCAGGTTCTGACCCTAACAGCTTCAGCAACAACCCCATCTATGAAGAGCCAGCCCCAGAAATCTAAGGGAGAGAGTTGCAGACCCAGCCTAGCTTCTGGCCTATGTCTTTCTTGAGCCTGCCCATGACTGGTAGCTCCCCCGCCCCCACCCGGAGGTCTTCATTTTCCTCGGTCCTCGGGGCAGCGGGCAGCTGGTAACCAGATGCCCCAGGGCGCAGAGGAGCTGCAGCCCCTGGAGTGAGAGGCCCCCCACCACACGTGGCCACAGCAGCCGGGAGCATGTCTGGCCCAGCCCTAGGAACTTGGCTTCCTAGCACCATCCTCCCTGCCTGGCTCTTCTCCTACCCTGGCTGCCTGGGCTTCAGCTCCCTGCCTGCCTGCTGCCTCCTGCTCAGCTGTCTCATTTCAAGGAAAATTCCTACAAGAGCCAGGAAGGCGGTGGGACACGGTGGCCTAGCCAGTGCAGTGGTGTATCTGGGCAGGTGTCCAAGGAGGGGACTGGAGGTATGCAAAGGCCTCAGTGGATAATGGTGGTAGGGTACCAAAACCCCTACTTGTACCCCATGAGGGCAGGAGCGGTGGCTTACTGGCGGGTACATGAACAGTTACTGCACGCGGGGCACCAGCGTTATAATAGCACTGCGTCTTAACCCAGGCTCTGAGACACAACTCCCTTCCAGGCTCACACAGGCCTGCTCCTCCCCAAGCCAAGCAGGCAGGGATTCAGCATGTCCCTTCCTGCTTGGGGAGGAGGGAAAGAGGAGCCACTTCTGCAGGCCTCCAAGACCTCTCTGCAGAGGTCCTGTCAGGGACAAGGACCCAGGCCAGGGCCCTGAGACACAGAGCCAGAGCACAGGCGGACACGTGTGGCTCTCAGGAAGCTGCTCTCTGGGGGAGCCAGAATGTCTCTTGCACCTCGTGAACGAGTCGGGGAGGTGGCAGGGCCCTCTCCAGACGGCCACCGTGGGCCACTCGACAGCAGCGGAAGGCAGATTTTCAGGGACTAAAACTGGAGAAAATAGCAGGTCCTCTGGGAGCCCCCACCCCGTGCCTCAGTATCTCTGGGCCCTTCAAGGCCAGGGCCCTGGCTGCTCCCAACCAGTCCTTTCCCTCGGGAGAGGGTGGTGGCCGGTCAGAGGCAGCTGCCTGCGGTGGCTGTCTCCCTGCCCTTGCAGCCTCACAGGGTCACCTGACCCTCTCTCTCCTTAACAGGAGAGCCTCAGCCACTCCCAGCCCTAGGAACTGTGACCCACAGAAGGCTCTGACCCCTGGGGATAAGAGGCAAACGGGTGAGGGTGCCCCTGAGGCGTGACCCGGTAGTTTCTGCGAAATTCTTTTCATCTTTGTTTTGATGGGTGCCGGTCAATGCCAGAATATTTGGTTTATGAGTCATGCTAATTAAGGGGGGGTAGGAGGGAGGCAGGCACCAGGAAGAATGGCAGAAAGGAGTGTGTTCAGGAAAAAAAAATAATGCCAGGGAGGTTACAGTCAGGAACGGGCAGTGAACTGCCCTCTCGCTCCAGGACAGGCCTGCCAGTGGGGCCTACCCCAGGCCTCCTGGGCTAGCCTGCTCTCCATAAACTTCAGAACACTTCTCTTGACTTAACAGGGGATGGGAAGTGAAGGGGGTAATGTGTGAGTTTTCAGGAAGTAAAAAGCTCAGCCTGGGCAGAGAATCCAAGTTGAGTCTTGGGGAGTGAAGACACCATTTAGCTAGGATGCTTCCTGTGCGGGCTGCAGGGCCTTGGGCAGGGCCTTGGGGCACAGGAGCAGCGATCCCCTTGTTTCTCAACCCTCTGCCGGTTTCCCTCCCCTCTAGTGAGCCTGGCAGAGTCTCTCACACTGCACATGCGCAGGCGGCGTCCTATAAAAAGCAGAGCCTGGGCAGTCAGTCTCTCGGGCCCCGCTCACTCCCAGGGGGATCCCAGTGACATTTCTCACTTTTCTTTCTCTGATGTTTTCCTTGTCTTCTCTTTCACTGCTTTGAAACAGCAGCTCACACTATAGCTTGGGCTCATCGAGGACTCAACAGCTGTCTGGCTGGCTTAAGGCAGCCCCAGACTCAGGCAAGCCGCCTTCTTCCCGCCTCCCGGTCTCCACATGCTCAGGGAAAATCAGAGTCGAGATCTGGTTGTTGTTTCCGGTACTGGGGATGCAGCCGGGGCCCTTCCACGTGCTCGGCACTAATCCCACTACTAAGTCACATCCCCAACCCACACGGTGGTCGCCGTTCTGAGGAACAGGGCAGCTGGGGCAGAAGGGAATCGCAGAGGCAGCCTCCCCCGCCCCCAACACCTTCCACGCCCCCGGATTCTGGTGGGAAAGGAGGAGGCTCCCCAGAGAAGCCCAGCTCTCCAGGGCAGGCAGCAGCCTGGGTGGGCCCAGAGACAGACAGGGCGGGACTCGGGTTAACCAGGAAGGAGAGCATCTACACCTGCAGGGAAGCCCAGGTGCCTGAGTAGTAGGTGGACATGGCTGTGCAAAGGTCCGGGGGCATCTTAGAGACCGCAGCCCTAGCTCTGGCCACTGTTAGCATGATAGGCAGCTTTGCTTCCCAGGAAGGTCCGTGGAAAAGGGATGTTTGTTTTTTCCTGCCCATGCTGGATGCCATCCAGGAACAGCAAGGCTGTTACAAGAGGGGGCCAAAGTCCACACTTCCTGTTCAGTGTCAGGGGTGGGGGGCTCCCGCTGACCACTGACAGATGGTTTAGACCTGGATCCCGGAGGGCTCAGGTGATGACAGGGACAGCGTGGCTCTCCAAGGTGGGAACATAAATGCTCTTTCTCCTGTGACGCCCTCCAAAAAGCACCCCGGGGAGAAAAAGAGGCACCCCACAAAACAGGGAGAGAAGGTGCAGCCGGCCCCGTCAGCATCCTATTTGCCAAGGAGCCCGCCTCCTGCATGCTCTAGGGAGCCCCAGCAGCTGCCTCTGAAGAGCCAATCTGTGCAGGGGAAAGTTAGCAAGAACAGCACAATGCTGTCCCCCAAACTCTGTCTGCCCCTTTGCCAGACAGAGTCACTCTCCCCCCTCACTGCAGGGAATGTGCCTGTTGAGCCCTGCTCTGGCTCCCAGATGAAGCCACGAAGACAGAGCTCAGAGGCACCGAGTCCTTCCCAGTCTGTCGGATGGCCAAGACACCTACCTCCGTCCAGCTGAGCCAACGGACCGAATCCTCCCGCCTCTCAGGGGGGCTCTCCAGGCACTGACTCTTAAGAGCATCTCTCGGGGCTGAGTCTTCTAGGCCAGGTCAGAGGGGAAGTACAGACAACGTCAAAGCAGAGATAGAGAGAGAGCCCGAGGGAGTAAAAAAAGTCTCGGGGCAGGGGTGGGGTGGGGGAACGACGACCTAAGGGTGAGGAAGAGGGGCGGTGCAAGCCACAGCGGTCCAGCACCTTTATCTCCTCAGCCACCTCCAAGTTCTCTTTGACCAGAAGCGGAAACGTGACTTCTCTCAAAAGTAAAGGAAGAAAGCAAAGCGGGAGAAATACAAAGAGCAAACCCCAGCCAGATGTGAGCCGCCAAGGAGCCTAGAACGCTCCCAGCGCTTTTTATCCAAACAGCAGCCGTAGAGGATTAACTGTGTGAGTGCCCGGCTGGCTGGCTGGCTGGCTGGCTGGCTGGCTGGCTGGTGCTCCCTTCTTCTGGATACCCTAGGGAGCTAGCACAGGCTAGGAGGGGATGGGGACAGACACTTGTGTTTATCTAAAGGTCCTTCCAGATGTGGAGATGGCTGGGAGCCCGGGACAAGGATGTTCCACTCAGGACAGAGAACAGCAGAAAGGCTGAGCATCTGGAGGTAACTGGTGGTAGGGGAGTTGACGTAGGCATGTGGGCAACCCTGAGTCCAAACAGTGGCCCGTCTGAGACACACCTTCCAGCAGGATGTCTACTGGCAGTCCAGGGACCAATGGGTTGGTTTGGAGGCATCCGTCATCCCCTTGCAAAAGAATGCCAGGTTTTGTGTTCATGCAAGTGTGTGCTGGAAAGGGATGGCTCCGTCGTTCAGTTGGGAGTCTAGAAAACTCTTGGAGGCAAAGGTGAGCAAGCAGCCTCCGGAAGGTTCAAGTCCTCCAGTGAAGCCCTGGAGCGAAGCCCTGGAGTGCAATGCTGGGCCAGATGTTTGCTCAGCCTCTGCTAGGCAACTCCGCACTGGATATCTCCTAATCATACACACATGCCCTTATGAGTCTCCTCCCATGGGGATTCTGCCCCAGGCTTCTCCAGAAAAGTCCTTCCCATTCTCCATCCCTAAACACTGAGTCAGAGGGCTGCAATCTTATCACAACCCGTAAGAGAGAGAGGGTCTGGATGGAGAAACTGCGCTCTCTCTCTCTCTCTCTCTGTCTCTCTCTCTCTCTCTCTCTGTCTCTCTCTCTCTCTCTCTCTGTCTCTCTCTCTCTCTCTCTCTCTCTCTCCCCACTTCTCATCCCTCCCTTCCACTCTCCTCTCTACAGGCAGGAGATGTAAAATCAGGGATGCTAGTTCGGGATATCCCAGGCAAAATAAACAGGCTGCAGCTTGCTATTCTTTGCTGTGCCAGCACGAAGAAGGGTCAACAGAATCAAAGGGGGATGGGGGAGGGAGGAGAGTATGAGCCCAGTATCCCTCATCATCTCACCCCAAGGCTGGGCATAGATCAGTAGAGGGCAGATCCCAGAAGGGGCAGGGGCAGATGGAAGGACAAGAGGGTGGATTCCGATGGCAAGGATCAGCCTGCGGATTCCCACAGGCTTCTCCAGAAATTCCAAATCCAAATGCCAACCCCATGAGAAGGAGAGATGTTGCTAAACCCTCTGGTACCCACAGGGGAGGGGAGGAGGGGCACTTAAGGGCACTTGTCGAGAATAAGGAGCTGTGTTCCTGCCAGAGATGTGACCTGCCCTAGCCTAGCAGGATAGATCCTGTTGCTTAGCACGTATCCAAGGCTGAGCAAAATGGCATTCTTGGTTATCGATATAGGAAAACACACGGATAAGATTCTCATTCCTGTGAAGCTTCCCACCCAGCACAAGGACCCACCCTGTCCCCCATCACCCTGTCCCCCACATCCTCTGAAGTACAGATGCCAGGGCCAGCAGCCAGCAGAGGCAGAAGGACCATTTTAACCCCTGCCAGGCTGCTGCGGGGACAACAGAGAACCTTGGGAATCTTGTGAAGGATCAGTGTAACAGTACTGCTCACACGGCTCTATCCAGAAGTCTCTGTTCAAGGAAGTTCCAGCTCACTGAAGGATTCCTAAAGCTGGGCATGTGGCTCAGGAGCGGGAGAGATGTGGAGGCAGAGGAGTTGCCCCCAGCCTACACATTCGAGATGGCAACACTCTCTCTAATGAAATTCTGAAATACCAACTAGAAGGCCAAAAACAGTAGAAAGTCCTAGAAATACACACAATGACAGGCAGCTCTCTACAGCCGGCTCATTTCAACATGAGGGTTTGCAATCTGGACCCGTGTCTTTCCCCTCAACCCAGCCTGGGTAATGGCAGCCAAAGTCACAGGCTTGGTTCTTCACAGACAATGCAAAGATGGGTTCCGAGTCTCTGATCTGCACTCAGCTGGGCCTCATGGACTCAGAGTAAGATGGAAACGGCCCAGAAAGCAGCTCACCTAGGGAGCTTGAGGCAGCCCCAAGTACGTGACTGTTCTCCAAGGCCATAAATGAAGGCTATATAGTCACAAGACAGCTCGAGTCACATTGTACTACCAGGATTCTGTTAAACTTAGGAGAGACCAAGGTTTCAGATTCTTTTTTGTACTTGGGAGACTTGGGGAGGGAGTTGGTTGGTTTGTTTTTGTTGTTGTTTCATTGTTGGTGGTGGTGGTGGTTGTTTAAGTTATATGTATTGGCCAGGTATGGTGGCTGATATCTTTAATTCCAGCCCTTGAGAGGCAGAGGCAAGTGGAACCCTGTGAGTGTGAGACCAGCCTGGTCTATATACCAAGTTCTAGGCCAGAGAGAGATACAGTGAGATATTGTCTCAGTAAATTAAGTAGACAAGCAGAATTAGGTGTGTTGTGTGTGTGTATATGTGTGTGCATGCACACGCGTGTGTTCCAGTGCATGTACATTTGTGTAAACATGGGTGTGGAGGTCAAAGGGAAACCTTGGATCTTGGTTCATAGTCTCACTATTCTGTAACCCATCAAGTAGGCAAGGCTGGCTGATCAGCAAGTCCTGACTCTCGGCCTGTCTCGGCCTCCCCAGCACCTGGATTATAAACCCCTTCACCTACACTTTTCATGTGATTAATAAATAGGTTGGTGAAGTGGACGGAAAACGCTAGGATATCTACTAGTATTGTAAAGTATACATGGTATCTGCTAGTATTGTAAGTATACATGGTATCTGCTAGTATTGTAAGTATACATGGTATCTGCTAGTATTGTAAGTATACATGGTATCTGCTAGTATTGTAAGTATACATGGTATCTGCTAGTATTGTAAGTATACATGGTATCTGCTAGTATTGTAAGTATACATGGTATCTGCTAGTATTGAAAGTATACATGGTATCTGCTAGTATTGTAAGTATACATGGTATCTGCTAGTATTGTAAGTATACATGGTATCTGCTAGTATTGTAAGTATACATGGTATCTGCTAGTATTGTAAGTATACATGGTATCTGCTAGTATTGTAAGTATACATGGTATCTGCTAGTATTGTAAGTATACATGGTATCTGCTAGTATTGTAAGTATACATGGTATCTGCTAGTATTGTAAGTATACATGGTATCTGCTAGTATTGTAAGTATACATGGTATCTGCTAGTATTGTAAGTATACATGGTATCTGCTAGTATTGTAAGTATACATGGTATCTGCTAGTATTGAAAGTATACATGGTATCTGCTAGTATTGTAAGTATACATGGTATCTGCTAGTATTGTAAGTATACATGGTATCTGCTAGTATTGAAAGTATACATGGTATCTGCTAGTATTGAAAGTATACATGGTATCTGCTAGTATTGTAAGTATACATGGTATCTGCTAGTATTGTAAGTATAACCTATCCAGACTCTTGGGCTGAGCCCTCACATCTCCCAAGACGTCTTAAGGGGCTTGTTAGTTTTCTTCGGGGTGGAATCTGGGAGGGAAAAAAACATTGTACTAAACACAGGAAAGGGAACGTGTAGCTTCCCACGATGCCTGAGAACCAGAGGGCACAGGGGGATTCCACGAGGTTGGAAGAGAGATGGAATGTGCCTTAAGAGTGAGTGTCGTCACAACGTGCAGGCAACCCAACCCGACAGGCAAACAGACAAAGGACTTACGAGGCCAGGTCCCAAAGGCCAACACATGCCAGTGTAATGGAAGAAATAAATGTGTCACTGAGCTGGACAGCTTGCTAGGCTCCTAAAGCCCTTTGTCATCAACTTCATTTCTGCTTTGAAACTGTAAGAAAGACAGGAAGTTTGGCAAGACAGGGAACACTTTGCAGATTTCCTGGTCTCCCTCTATCCCTGCCACAGCATCCCAATCAACCAGAACCGAATGTTTTCCACATAGCGAAAGCCTTCCCTCCAGAGCTAAGGCAAGAGACATGGTAAACCACACCAACAACCTAACAAGAGAAGCCCCAGTTAACAGCGCACTGGGTCAGATGTCATCAGCCCTGAGCAAATGGGGCAGACAGCAAGACCAAGCCATCCTCCAGGGTCTTCCTGTCAAGTTCCCAAAAGATCTATAAGCTAAGTACTTCCATCCTGGATTCCCTAGAGGCTGCACCTGCCCAAGGGTGTCTGGCCAAACCATCAAAGGCTTCCTCCATATGCCCAAGTGACTCTCTCCTCTTAGGCCAGGGCGGCTCCTGGACATGAGAGTTGCTGGAGAGTCTGCTGCAGCCGGCCATGGAGGGCACACTCTGTGCCCTGACATAGTGTAGTGCTATGCTTGTATATTCTTGTGTATATATGTATGTGAGTGTGTATGTGGTATATCTGATTTGTTTTTGTTTTGGGGTGTGTGTGTGTGTGTGTGCGTGTGCATGCGCGTCCAGATGGGCAAAGACTGGAGGAAGATGCTGGTCACTCCCTGCCTCATTTCCTTTGAAAACTCAGTCCCCATGCTTGCCCAGCAATGACCACCCCCGCCCCCCCTCATTGAGTCATCCCCCCAGCCTGTTTGGCAATTCCTTCCTCCTCCAGGCCATGCCATCCCTGCTGCTGTCTTCTGATCGCTGGAAAAGGTTGTGAGGCCTGGGCTGCAGTAGGGCGACGCTGGGCTCCCCGATAAGCATAGCGTGTCATTTAGCAGCTCCGCGGAGTCTCCCACTGGGGCCCTGACGTCCTGCCAACCCAGCTATTCTGGGCCCGTCTGCCCAGCTATCCCACAGGCAAAGGCTGGTTTTGCAGATTTTTGAATTCTATTCTGAAGGGTAGTGCGACAGCCAGGCTCCCATTGGTGGTGTCCCACTGCCAAGAAGGGGGGGTGGGGAAACCTCTCAGAGATCCACAGAAAGTGCTGAGGATGGGAAAGGACGCCTGGTATCCAGGCCCCCGCTCCTGGACACCGTCCTGAGCTCGCGGCTCCCGCCTGGCGCCGGCCTGTATTCTTGGAGGCTCGGGCAGGTAGAGCTCGGGATTGGCAGTTGCAACCTCACCGCTGGAAGAAAAACAAACGGAAGGGTTGTCCCTCTCCAAGATCAGCACACTCCTACTGTGGAAACACACATTCCTGCCGACTTTCATTCAGCCATTTAACCTCTCCGTGCCTCAGTTTCTCCATCTCCGCCGACTTCCCCTGTTTTGGTAATACGTGTTTTCAATGAACGCTGAGGCAAAGGGTGAACCTGATGCAATATTTTACTCAGGAAAAAAACATAATAATGTGAGAGCGCCCCCAGGTGGGGGCACAGTCCTAGCACCTGACCAAGAGGAGCCGCGACAGAACCAAAGGAATGGTGAAGGATGTGTCACAGGGGCCAGAGGCATTCGGGAAGGGGGCGTGTGGGGGAGCAGAGGAGCCCCGAGTGGGTGAAGGCCCGGGTGGATGTGCCTCGTTGACACGGGCATGGCCATGTCAAGGACCCTAATGCCTCCGCCAAAGCTTCCCCCGGTGAGGCTCAGAGGCATGGCTGAGCCATGCACAGGCGAT